TTGAAGTCCACAAGTCTTAAAGTTGGCTGAGGAATTCTGGGAGTTGAAGTCCACAAGTCTTAAAGTTGGCTGAGGAATTCTGGGAGTTGAAGTCCACAAGTCTTAAAGCTGGCTGAGGAATTCTGGGAATTGAAGTCCACAAGTCTTAAAGTTGCCAAGGTTGGACACCCCTGGTCTAGGCCATCTAACCATTGAAGTGCAGCATTGTTTATATTAAAAAAGAGACTTCGGATACCGGAGAAGTCCTCAGCCGTCTCGTAATTAAGTTGGTTGCTAACGAGGATGTGAAAGCCTGCTTTCGGTTTCCTTCCCCTTTTTCTCATGTTCTGCTTCCTCCCCGCCCCCCCCCGCCCCCCCACTTCAGATCCCCTGGAGCCCCAGCCCGGAGAAAAGGAGAGAGTGCGTCTTCAAGAAGAAAAGCAACGAGGTGAGGGCAGAGGCGGCTCCAACGTCACCCGGGTCCTGGAATGACCCGTTTATTCAGGGTTCACCTGGTAGATTGAGTTGCGGACTTACAAGCAGAGGTAGATGCTGCCCGTTACGGCCCCCAAGGTCGTAAGTATAGTTAGTCCCACGACATGGGACTGCAAGAGAGCCAACATTTGCATAGCTTCCGTTGTGGTTTGCTGGCAGCAAGTGCTGAGGTCTCGGAGAGCGAGGACTCAGAGGAGGGTGAGGCAGGGATGGGGACAGGACCATCAGGGAGTGGAGTGCTGCCTTCGGAGATGGTGGAGGCTGGCAGCAATGAGGAAGAGCACCCCGAGGAGCCTGTGCCCAGGGTGTGTGTGTGCACGGCTGCTCGAAGGAAAGAGCAGCTGCAGCAGCACGGGTGACTCGGGAGTAAGGCTGCAAGGTGATGGCCCCTCCCTTAAGGGATAAAAGCCAGCTGAGAAACCAGAGTTCTTTGCAGGAAGCAAAGAAGTTTTTGCACTCAAGCCTGGTGGATGTTCGGGCTCTCTTAGTTTGTGTTTGGAGACTCTTTGTGTTTGAAATATTCCTTGGCAACTTTATCTAGTGTTCTTGGCAGCCTTGCACCACCTTGGCAAGGCTCGTTCTTATCAATGAGTTTGAAACAGCCTTTTAACCGGGAAGGAACGGAATTCATAAAGAATCATTAAAAGCTTTTGCTTTTATCTCTGTATGGGGTTTGTTTACTTAGAACAAGGTTTGGGTCAGAACCGCTTAGCAAGGCAGATGTTAGATGCCCTGTTTTATACCTTTTCTTGCTGCGGTTCTTAAGTCACCCGGTTGTTAAGTGAACCCGCCTTGTCTTTGCCTTTCGGAAAGTCTCAAAAAGCGATCACGCGACCCAAGGGACACTGCATCCGACATAACTACGAGTCAGTTGCCGCGTGTCCCAACATTGACCAGGTGGCTGCCCTGGTTGCAATTGTGAAAAATGGTCCTGTCCCCTTTTTTTTCAGCGCCCTTGTAACTTCAAACGGTCACTAAACGAATGGTTGTAAGTTGTGGATTACCTTTTTACAGCAGCCGTTAAGCGAACGTGGCATCTGTTAGGTGCAAAATGTCATGGTTGTGTAAGTGAGCCCGTTGCTTTTTTTTGTTGGCTGTGGCTGGAAGTGCCAACCTGCCGCTAAACTGTTTTAGGACGAGGTCCTATGGGGGGGGGGGCACCATCAGAATGTCAGATCCTGATAACAACCCCCCCCCCTTTTAAGGTAGGTTGTCACTTTCGACAATTGCTAAGCCACCAGCTGTAAGTTGAGGACTTAATTGTAGACTGTTTGTAACCCTCAACTCCCCCCAAAAAGCATTTAACATAGTACACACACCCCTCCCCTCCCCTGAATTGCTATCTAAGGGTGGGGATTTTTTTGGGGGGGGGGATCCTAGAGATGCTTAGAGAGAATTGAAGACTCCCAAGAAAAAGGACTCAATAAATGAAGGGAAAATAAATTCAGGAAATGATCAAACCAAAAAAGTGAAAAAAAAGTGCAAAAGTGAAATCTGATTTCCACCCCCACCCCCCAATTTCCTGGCTCAGTTCTGCTTCTTAAGGACCGTTTCTCGTGTGTGTGGGGTGTGTGTGTGTGTGTGTGTGCGCGCGCTGAGCAAAATTTAAACAGAAACTGACTTGCCTTCCCCCCCCCTCCCGGTTCTCCTTCCGCAGACCGAGTGCTTCAACTTCATCCGCATCCTGGTTCAGCTGAACAAGACCCACCTTTACACCTGTGGCACCTACGCCTTCAGCCCCACCTGCGCCTACATCGTGAGTCTCCCGGGGAGCAGCGGAAAGGGTCTCGCAGGGGCCCGTCCCTGTTTACTCACAAGCCACTTGGTTGTTATTGCTGTTTTCCCCCCACGTATAAGTACACGAACGGACCCTGAGTGGAAGGCGGAAGGGTCGTTTTGGGTGGCAGAGGGTCTCCTCTCTTCCCCCACACCTGGGAGACCCTCGAAATGCAAGAAAGAAAAGGGTGGGGCAGCTGCTTGGCCTTGCATTCCTTCCAGTATTACTAATTATAAGCACAAGTTCATCGCGTTCCTTGGCAGAGTTTGGAATCAGGGTTAATTCCAGGCCAGGAATGCATGCTTCTGTGGCCTACTTCTGGCCTTTTATTTATTTTTATTTCTTAGATTTTTTTATCCTGCCTTTATTGCTTTATAAACAACTCCAGGCAGCAAGCACGCCTAATATTCTTTCCTCCTCCTAGTTTCCCCACCACAACGACCCTGCGAGGTGGATTGGGCTGAGAGGTGGAGTGGCCCAAAGTCACCCAGCCGGCTTTCTTGTCTCAAGCGGGACTAGAACTCGCCGGGTGCCTGGTTTCTAGGCCCGCATATTCATTCACCTCTGCAGTCGGCTGGCGTGCCAAGGGTCACGGTGTCGGGGGGCCCGATTGAACCAACCTCGGGTTTGCCCAATTCAATTGACACCCGTGGATTTCACGGTCTCCCTTCCGTCCCACTTGGGACGACAGTGTGGTAGCAACCTGTCGTGTCTCTGTCGGAATCCGAGGGGAAGGCCGAGCAGCCGACAGGAAGCGGGGGTGGGGCTCTGTTGGCTGTGGAGGAAACTGGGGAAGGGCAACGCCCAGCTGGGCAGAGCAGGGGGGAGGTAGAACAAGGGAGAGGGAAGTCAGAGGAAGACCCAGGCCCACGGGTGGGATTCTACCGGTTCGCACCTATTCGCTAGAACCGGTTGTTAACATTCTAAGTAGTTGGGAGAACCGTTGTTAGAAGAAATTTCTGGGCTAATCCTGTAAGGAAGGCAGGAAGGAAACATTCTGGTGTTGCTTACAGAAACTGCCTCTCCGTTAGCCCTTATTAACATTCTTGGCAGGACTAGACTTCCTGTCTCAGGAACTTCTCTGGAGTTGTTTTTCCCCTCCTTTGCTGGTACTTTGGTGGTGTGGAGGGACCATTCAAAGTTACAATGGCACTGAAAAAAGTGACTTGTGACCGTTTTTCACCCTTACGACCGTTGCAGCATGCCCACAATCACGTGAGGCCTGGCGAGGAGATGCGTGCCTCGATGGGAGTGATATTGAATTGGCCACGCCCAGCCAATAACATCACCACCCAGTCACATGACTACCAAACCACACCCACCCCCTAAGCCACTCCCACAGAACCAGTTGTTAAAAGTTTTGAATCCCTCCCCCGTCTAGGCCCACCCGCTCTTCATCCTAGAGCACGCAGGGAGGAACGGAGTAAGGAGCAGCGTGGGTTGCGTGGCTTACGGGGGAGGAAAGGGCCCTGATTCCCTTCCTTAGCTGCAGCTGGGAAAACTGTGTTTAAAAAGGGAAGTTGCGTGCAGCCAGCTGTTGGGAGCAAATTGTGGGTTATCTTTTATTGTCGAGGCATTGTGGTGGGGTGGGGCGCTGTGGAAGGCAGGGGGGGCCCGCCCTGCCTGTTCCTTGGGGGAGATATTTCCCTTCACTCCCCCATCTTTTCTTGCCTTGCCAGGACGTGGAGAATTTCACGCTGGTGGCCGATGCCAAAGGGCAGCCCCTCCTGCAGGAAGGCAAAGGGCTCTGCCCCTTCGACCCGCGGCACCAGAACACGGCGCTCATTGTGGGTGAGCAGAGACGGGCACCTGGGGGGGGGCGGGGGGGGGGGGGGGGGGGGAGGCCCTGGGGAGATGTTGAGACTTTGGAAAAAGTTCAGAGAAGAGCAACGAAGAGGATCAAAGGCCTGGAGACTCAAAATGTATATGAAGAATGGCGGCAGGTTTTGGGTCTGGCTAGTCCAGAGAGAAGAAGAATTAGGAGTGATATAGCACTAGCCCTTAGGCTTATATACCGCTTTATAGTGCTTTCCAGCGGCCGAGTCGACCTGGAGCCTGAATGGGATTCGACCTGCCAAGTTGCAGTGGGGCTGGCTTGCAGTCCTGCGCTCTAACCACTGCACCACCGAGGCTCCTTATGATAGGATAGCAGCCTTCCCAGTATTTGAGGGGCTGCCCCAAAGACCCGGGGGCGTCCAGTTATTCTCCAAAGCACCAGAGGGCAGGACAAGAAACCGCGGACGGAAACTAACCCCAAAGAGAAGCAACCTGGAAGGAAGGAGAAACGTAACGGTGAGGGCAATTTAGCCAGGGGAACAGCTTGCCACCAGAAGTTGTGGGGGCCCCACCCCTGGAGGCCTTCCAGAAGAGATTGGACAGCCACCTGTCTGGAATGGTGGAGGGTCTCCTGCTTGGAAACTGATCAAGGAGAGACCCAACCTAGAACCAAGGAGGAATTTCCTGTCCGCGAGGACAATTAGCCAGGGGAACAGCTTGCTACCAGAAGTTGCAGCTGCTCCAGCACTGGGGGTTTTAAAGAAGAGACTGGACAGCCATTTCTCTGAAATGGTATAGTTTTTTCCTGCTTGAGCAGCGGGCTGGACTAGAAGACCTCCCAGGTCCCTCTTCCAGATTTCTATTCCGATTCTCATTCCTCGCGCCTCGCAGCCCGTTTTTTTTTCTCTTTTCTTTCCTTTTCTCTTTCCTGAAGGACGCACGGATCCTTTCCAACAGCTTCCCTGACCCCTTGCCCGACCTCAGTTCTCGATCTCTCCGATCCCAAGGCCGCGGTGCTGGGGATTCTGGGGGGTGTAGTCCAACCCAGAAGGATGGGCAGGCTGTCATTTCAGAGCTGACCTGGCCGGGGGGGGGGGGGGGGGGGGGGGGGGGGGGGGGGGGGGGGCGCGGGTCTGTAGCATCCACCGAGGGGGTCTGTGCCGTAGAGCAGGGG